TTCGTCAGGACTGTATTTTGATACACAACTGCATTCGTTTTTACACCTTTCTCACAAAAATGTACCTCTGTTAAGCCCCAATAAGAAACTCCCAACCATACCATGAGCGAGGATGGAAAATGACCTCGTTGGACACGTGGAAACGGTTGCTCGCTTCTTCACTACTGTGTGCGTACACCTTATCATTTTGTTTGTTGTAGCTCTCATCTACGGTAAAAATTTTTTCATCCGAAAAAAGAATTTCCCGATATTTTTTTCCCGCGTACCGCTTCAACAAAGCGCGGCATCTCTTCAGTCTCAGGTCTATTAGACGAGCATTCAAACGATGTCCTGTTTTTCTTCGATATGCCCGAAGCCCTAAGTCTTCATTTAATACCCTTTTCACCGTGGTTCTGCTTAACCCCATCTGAAGGACCAACAGTTTCTGCTTACGTTTGGGATTTCTTTGAATTCGCGCCTTCACAGCTTTTATCACTGCTGGAGTCCTAACAGACCGAGGGCGACCACTTCTTGACCTGTTATCTACACTAGAGTCTTCATTGTATCGTTTGATGGTACGATTAACGAATCTTTTGGTTATATTCCAATTTTTCAGTACGTCAAAAATTGGCATTGGCGCGTAACCGCAACGATGCAACGCAATAACTGCAACACGGTCTTCTTTAAGCGTCCACTCCATATTTAAAAATGAGTAAAATTCTAAAAAGTATACAGTTTTATTTTCATGAACAATTCGAAATTCGAATTCAATAAACGTTTTTGTGGCCAGCATTCTAAAAGAAAAGTTTTTACTGTGGGATGCAATACTTATGACCTGACTAGGTATATTATGATTTTAAAATTGGTTTAACCGAACAATTAAGTTTATAACGGTTACAATCAGCATTAGGGTTTTCAGCTCCATCATGCACAACAATTTTTAGCTGGTTTGCTGAATTCAAAAGGGGTAACATTAATCTTAAAGATGACCAAAGAACCGGGGGCCCCGTAAACAGCAGTAACGGCTGAAAATGTATGGACTACTGAAATGTTGGTGTGAGAAGACCCACGAATCACATATACGGACATAGAAAAGATTGTAGGTATTAGTTCGGGGAGCATTCATACCATTCTACATCAACATCTTAGAGTGAGGAAGCTTTGTTGTCGATGGATCTCTCGCTTGCTCTCCGAAAACGAAAAACAGACTCGTGTGGATTGGTTCCATGAAATACGTCTACGTTTTGAAAACGGGGCATTTAGGCGTGTTTCAGAAATCGTTACTGGTAACGAGAAATGGATCTATCAATATTATCCGGAAAATAAAAGGCAATCATCGGTGTGTCTCTCAGAATGACATTTACCGACAAAACTGCAAAGACTTCGCAACGTCGGGAAATAAATGGTGGCTAGTTTTTTTTCGCGGAGCGGACATTTGTCGACGTCAATGCTAGAAAATTGTAGGTCAGTCAACTCTGAATGGTATACTACAGTTGCATTACCCAAAGTTTTTCAAACTGCGCGGGAGAGAAGACCAAAGACCCGGCTTCCGGGAATCATGCTGCATCACGATAACGCACATACCTGCCTTAGAACAAAAACATTTATTGAGGAATATGGTGTTTTAAACTCTAAATCACCCACCCTACAGCCCTGACTTAGCTCCTTGTGATTTCTTTTTGTTCCCAAGAGTTAAAAAAATAAAATAAAAGGCAAGTTTTTTTCAAGCGCCGAAGGAGCCGTGGGTGCCTACGAAGAAGCGATTTCCGACCTGTCAGATCAAGACTGGCAAAAGTGTTTTCAGAGTTGGTTTAGTCGAATGGAACTTTGTATAGAGCATGATGGAGAATATTTTGAAAAGATGTAAAATAAATATTAATAGTACCTAGAATACTTTTTGTACATCTTAAAACTTATTGAGGGTCCTACATAATCGTAGCCTATTTATGTAATTTTTTTATATGCTCTTCTAGTGGGTACATAAGCAAGCAAAAACATTTTTTTTTGTATTTTATGTGTACTGAATAACAGATATCATTACTTTTGGATCACCGCTCGTACAACTTGTTAAGCATTCACGTCTTTTTTTCCTGTTATTTTTTTATAGGATAGGGTACAAACGAGCACACAGTCCACCTGATGGTAAGTGGTTGCTGTAGCCCATAGACATCTACTTCTATCCTCGTTTGCGAATCAAAATGCAGATGCGCTGTCACCCGTGAGGACTAAGATGGAATGCCTCTTTTCCAGTAAAAAGGGTCTCTGGTTCTCTACACTCATTATACGAAACACAGCAGTGTTAAGCTGCTACTTTACGCTGGTATTCTGTGAGAGCGTGGTCCTTTCCCGGTCGAGTCGACCCATTAGTGTTACAACTATACTACTCGTAGCTGCAACATGGCTCTACCACGTTTTAAAAGTTAATTCCCATATATAATATGAATAGTTTTCAGAAACACTGTTACTACACCTCTCTCTATAAATTAATGATATATAGTTTAAGTGAAAGTTCTTTAGTATTGCTGTGATTTGAAATGTGATGAAACGAAAAAGCGATATGAAAAATATGTTTTAGCCTGCGAGAGAATGAGATAATGAGAATCCATACATATAATAAAGCGAAAGAGGTTTTTTGTTTGTTTAAACACGCTAATCTCCGGAACTACCAGTCGGATTTCCAGATTCATGAGGAACAGTATAGACTATCTAGCATTAGGCTACACCACACAGCTAGCCTTAAATATTGAATTTTGTTAAAAAGCAAGTCTGATGAAAAAGCTCTCAAGAAATGCTTTATCCGCGTGCGCTGGCGTAAATAGCAATACGTAAATACAATGTTCTACATAAATATAGGTCTTTCCTCCATCTTAGAAAAAGGTCCGCGATACCACAGGTCTATTTCTTATTGTCACAACAAAGTATTTTGTGACAAAAAATATGGAAAATTAAAAAGTGATTTATGACCGTTATTATTAGACATGGCATATCAATCCTTATGAACGGAACTTCATCATCAAGATGATTTTATAAAGATAAACTTTGCTCTTTATAGCATGTTATTTGGCGCATAGTTTTTTTTTAAATAGAATTAGGATGACAAACGAGCACACAGTCCACCTGATGGTAAGTAGTTCCTGTGACCCATAGACATCTACATCTATCCTCGATTACGAATTAAAATGTAGATGCGTTGTCACCCGTGAGGACTAAGATGGAATGCCTAGTTTCCAGTAAAAAGGGGTCTCCGGTCCTCTACACTCATCATAAGAAACACAGCAGCGTTATGCTGCCATTTTACGCTGGTATTCTGTGAGAGCGTGGTCCTTCCCCGGTCGAGTCGACCCATTTGTGCTACAACTATACTACTATTATAGCTGCAACATGACTCTACCACGTAAAAGAGTTTATAAGATAATGAAAAATTAAAATAATTCAACACTCAGCTCGGCGCGCGGTTGACGCCTAGCCACCCGGTGAGAATCGAGAGAAACCAGCAGTGAATGCCTCGCCTAAGCTAGGCGTCATATTGCGCGGGTCAGATTACGTAGTAACGTTATTTAATCTGTGGCTCAGACGCGCGATATACGCGGGACACAGCAGACAGTATAAAGTGTTTCCTATTATCTCGGTCTCCTCTGTGTGCGGTGCTTTAAATATGGTTAATATACCTTTTAAAATAAAAATATAAAAATTGCAAATTTATCAAATAAATGAAATTAATTATAATGAATAAAATTTTCATATACAAATTCTTAACTTCCACGATTTCATATCTTACCGATTTATGGACCACCTTGAGGGTCAATCAAGTTTTGTTTGATAAAATAACTTTACCTATAAATAATATACCTATAAGAAAATATTCTTTCGATTTAATTAATACACTAAAATTTAGGGTCTACATGTCTAAAAATAAGGATTGAAACATTTATTTCAAAATTACATAAAAACTGTTGTGTCATTTCATCAACATCCCGATCGATTCAGAACGTACTAAAAACGAACGTAAAGTAACGTTATGTAAGGCGATGCACTTTCTTTGTGGCATTGCTCTTGTCATTTGCTTTTTATAATATTAAGTACCTCTTGACATATGGCGGCGTGTATAGCCTCTTAAACAGACTTTTGTCTTGCCGAGTTTATGGATAGGATCTTAAGAAGTAAGATAGCTATTTTTTATGACCATTACCTTTCACATGGCGGGCTTCTAGCAGACGAGGTATCATCTTAATCGACATTTAGATATGTTAAAATGGATTAGATGTCAGTGTATATTATTTCCAATAAAAGTTACCTTTTCACTCACTACTCACAGCATTAAAGACTTATTTCTCGCACAGTAACTTTTGACGAATAATGACACGCAGTTTTTTTTTCAGTATATGTAACACACTTGTATGACATAAATAAGGCGCTTAATCGAACATGTCTTTGTGTGCGTTTAAAACTATAACTACTTGATGAATTTTGATGTTATTTTGTGATGAATGCTTTCATATATAGTACATAATATATTTTATTTAAGTGTAGTAGAAAATTGTGGCTTTTTGTAAAGGCTTGGAAATACTTTTCACATGGAGACAGATTAAAGGAAATACATTTTTCATTTCTAAGTTTATGTTTACATTATCTGTCATTATTAGCATTAGGTTGAAGGATTATAGGATATATAAACTTTTTCTTCAAAAGTCTACCTCACCTGCACACACAGGAGAGCTTCTGACGATGAACTTATAGTGAAAAAATCTATCCAATAACGTGGAACATCAAACCTATAAATTGGTGGTGGTTAGCAACACACCCACTGGTATGGTTCTGATTGCAATCAGCCCGCCGGTCTGTCATGCTAAGTATGGATTACATTTAAGAAGTTTATGCCTGTTAGTGCATTTCTGCAATTACTAAAGTCTAGCAGTGGAATAAAAAGAACAGATAATGTGTGCAACAGCGATTTCTAAAAAAACTTTTGGTTTGATAGTTTTAGCTAATATATAATTATATAATATACATTTTAATTTCAGGCTGGAAGTCCCATCTACAATACGGCTGCTGGTATGTGTTTAGGTGTGGAGCGAGCTTATCGCAGTGAACCGTTGCGTATGGTCATATGTGACAACGAACTAACAAATCAATGGGATTTTATACGTTCTTAAACAATCAATTTTTGTACGGATATACGTAATAACGAACGATACTCGCACTTTAAATACATTCCTGAAATTAATTATTTTTATAGAGTATAATGGCTGTTTGATTAGGTAGCTGTATAAAAATTAATAGTTAATATTTTTATATAATTTCTTGACAGTATTTATAAAAATATCTATTTTATATATAATATATAATGTCTACAATGATAATTTCGATTGTGTTGTTCAGATTTCGTTTTATTAACCTAAAAAGTTGACTATATTATGATAGGTTCAGACGTCATCAGAGTGGGCGTGGCTTTAGTTAGTATACTGCCAGCGTTCGTCATGGGCGCTTATGTGTAGAAAATCGCAAATCGGTGTATTTTCATAGTATTAAGAAGAAAAGGATGAAGTGTTGTATTTTATCTTGTAAAAGCATCACATTTCATTTGTAAGTAATTTTATACCTACTTTATTAAAATAGTTCTAGAAAAATCTCTTTGCGTCGGCTTTGAAATATAATTAAATATATTCGACATTAGATGGCGACACCTTGTGTCATGGGTACAAAAACTATAAAGGTACGTAGAGCTCAGTATTGGTAAAATAATCATACGGAGGTTTTGCATTCAGTCCTAATGAATTTTTAGTCTACAAAATATTATTGCTATTATTATTATTTTGTGAATGGGCCGCCATCTATCGTCAATTAAACGAACAATCATAAAAATAAGAAACGGAACGATGCGAGTAGTTTTACTATTTATCGGTAGATGAAAAATAGTTTAGTGGGCGGGGCTTAATACCCCAAATTGTCATGCGTTCTTACGTAGTGAAATCTCATTAACATCTCTTTGTATTCGCTCCGTGGATACCACAGACTGTTTTAAACTAATTTTACGGAGTTTATCGCGTTTAAATTTAACTTTCTTTATTCCCGACATACCCATGTCTTTAAAATAAGATTTTTTTCACATTAGGGTTGCCAAATATTTTGAAAGATATATAAAGTTTACCCAAAGTTGAAAAATATATTATTACATATCATTTACATATGTAATAATACTAAAAATTATATAATAAAGAAACATCACTTTAGATATCATAATAAAATGTTTAGGTTTCAAATCTTTGTGAAATTTGTGCCGTAATTTATAGATGGACTACTACTTAATATTTTATATATTATTATATAATACTCATATATTATACGTAAGTATTACGAAATGTGTCAAGGACTATACAATTATAACACATTCGTCTTAAAGCACACGACAAACGAACTCATCATTCACCTGATCCTAAGTGGCTCCTGTAGCTCATGTACATCTGCAGCCAATTTCAAACAAAGAAGGCTACAGGCGCGTTCTCACCTCTGCAGACTAATTTAGAATGCCTCACTGGTGGTACTAACTTAGACGGACTCCAAGACAAAAGGAGTCACACCATTTAGTGATAGCCTTACTCACAATCGTTTATTATCGCTTGAGTATTAATTATCTCTGTACCTGTTTTTTTTTCTATTGTTATATATCTACCTAACACGCTATAGCGGGGTTTGGCGGACTTTACATATCCTTGTCAATTATTTTACTTTATTTTATTATTTTTAAGGTTTAAACTATCTCCATATTTTTCATGGAATGGCCATTTTTTTTAATTAAAGGAAGTAGTTCAATTATATTAAATATGTCTTAGGTATAGTTATAAACATATATATTGATGCGAGCATGTCGCTGCTGCTTTCTCAATACAATTTTCTAGTTTCTGCGTATGTACACATACGCAGAAAGCTGGGGTACAGCGACCGTAAAATGATCAATATGCTTCTATGAATCTCCATGGACAGTTGGACTTCCTGGAAAAAAGGAAATAGTGTGTTGGAATATTCACTTTGTAAACGAATGAATTAACGACTTCAGGCACGCCAATAAGAATAATAGAATGGAATAGAGAATAATACATAATAGAAGTATAGAAATTTAATTTTGCTTTATCGACAAACAATTATTTAACTTTTGCATCACAATTTTAGTTTTGCATAAAATTGCAGAAACCATTAGAATTAAAAATAAGTTCCCTGGTATTTTCTTTATGGTTACATAATAAACTGTAAAATTAGATTTCTATAGTTAATTTGACTTAGACTTTCAGTTCGATTTATTTTAATTTTATATATAAAATAAAAATAAACAAATATTTTCAAACCTGTGTTTAATACAAAAAATGTTTTAAGACTAGGTTTATGATATATGAGTGATTTTCCATTTCTGTGTTTATATAATAATTGCAGATGTTAAAATTCTCCTGAAAATATAATAAAATTAATATTCTGTTATCAGTCATCACTGTTTAAGGAAGCGACATTTTAGCTGGTCAGACAGCTAAAAAGTGTTTGTATGAGCATATATTTTTACAAAAAAGCAGTTTGGCAAACGTGCACGCAGGCCACCTCAAAGACGCCATAATCTATCATCGATAACTCAAAATGCAGATGCGTTTTCACCTCTAAGGTATGAGATGAAATGCCACGTTAAAAGTGTAAAGGTTCTCCGGTTCTCGTAACACTTCATACGTAACAGCTCAACTGCTTTATGTTGCTACATATTTAACGCCTGTAATCTAATCCCGGCCGAACCGAACCATTCGTGCAGCAGTGTGGATCTACCATGTATAATTCATGCATACCATGCATGCTTTGTGACTAGAAAGACAAGACATAGCTTTGTCGATTTTTGAAGTGATAAGTTAGATTCGTGATTGTGCCCATAGTGAACATTTAAAGTAATAAAACGCAGTGTAATAATGACTTAAGAGAATCCACTAATCCAAATCATTCGTGGCTGTCGTTGGAGGTGACAGAAGGAGATGAAACAGGAGATGAGCAGTAATATCTTCCTGATAACTACAAAAAATAATACAAAAGTGCAGCTGCCAACTCGACTGCCAAACCTGGTATCTGTGGCAAATATGAAACAATTTATGGGGGACGCTTGTGTTCAGGAGTAGACTGATAGGCTGTAACAATGATATGATGATAATACTGATGAAAATAACTACGGTAATCTCAAAAACAATATAGCGCTTGTTTTGCTTAACTAAAAATTTCACAATTTTTTTTTAGTTTTTTTAAAAAATTTCACATTACGTACGTATGATATTGTAATTTTCTTAGTTACTTATTATTTGGTGATTTCTGTGTTTTTAATAAGAATTTGAAATGTTTAGGGTTTAAATACATACAATAATATGTTAAAAACGAAAGACTTTCTAATATTGTCTTTAGAATTTGTTTAATATCTATCACACATTTTTATATATCTCTGTATTACACTTTTTAGGGTTCCGTACCCAAAAGGTTACCAACGGGACCCTATTACTAAGCCTCCGCTGTCTGTCCGTCCGTCTGTAAGCGAGCTGTATCTCATGATGCGTAATAGGTAGACAGTTGAAATTTTTACAGAATGTGTATTTCTGTTACCGCTATAACAACGAATAAAAATAAAAATAAATTAAAAATTAAAGCTACCCTACTAGAAACGTGCTTTACGATGGTACGGAACCCTACATGCGCAAGTCCGACTCGCACTTGGCCGGCTATTATTTAATAGTAATACCACAGTACTACTACTTACAGTCGGTCATCGGAGTGGTCTAGACGGGGTAATCGTGCGGTGCGGTGCGGACCGAGACGCGGGCGCAAAGGTCCTAGTCCTGTCCACCTGTCTACTGTCCGCTAGGGTTGTCCTGTCACGCAAATAAATTAAACTGCTTCACACTACATGTGCTGTAAAAACAAACAACTTCAAATGTCCTGACAACCCTAGCAATTTATTGTTTATGTCGACATTTCCGACAACATCAAACGCGATGACTGACTGTTCTTCTTAGGCTGTGGTAATACGTGGAAAGGTTTACAATTTATTTTTTTTCGTTTATTTGTACTACATATTTGTTCTTTATAATATTTAACGCTGCCTATATTCTATTCAATATACGAAATAATAAAATGTAAAACAAGCGACCCAGTAGTTCTCAAACTTTTTTGGAGTGAAACTTGACTTCCTAATCATATCAATAAAAATTGCGGACATTGCGACGTAAATCTCCCATTTCTAAATCGTGCAAATGATAAAAAATTATTCGCCTTTGCAATCGTGGCATATGGAATGGCGTAGGGATTTCGACACGCCGCTTTTCTTACTTCTCACGGACGATTTTAAAACCTCACGATCTTTTACCTTTGTTCCAATGCGGATATCTTCATTACGAGATCTATTACGTAGAGAAACTCTGAGTATAGCCCTCTCCATAGTTTGCTGAGTGACCTTGAGTTTCCTTATACGACCCTTACATACTTTGTTTGCTTAGAAATAACTACTCACAATCACAGCTACTCTCACGATCTCCGTAGTTTTGTTAGTATATCGTACGTATATTTTATTTATAAGGATAAAAACCCTTAGGCCACGTCTCTTCATGCTTGTATATGTTAATAAGCATCTCCTTATCCACAGAATGCATCACTGTCTTTTTGGACCGCTTTTCCTTCGGCCAAGAAAAAGTTGCAAATTTATCATGGCCCATGTTCACTTATTTTACTGACTTCCTTAACTAAGAAGTGATTACGTTACTACTTTGAGGACTATAATGAATATAATTCTAAATGCAACGTCTTTTATATATAGGATGGTCAAAACAAGTGTGTTGACTGAGAAAGTATGACGCCCTGGTTTGACCAGCATGAACAATTATGCAGTGGAGTCAGCGTGTTTTGTAACGTTAGACTTCATAACATGTTATGAATAATTTAATATCAAAAGCTTAGTCGGCACAATTCGTGATCAACATGTAAAATTATGGCTACTTGCAAATATCATGTTTACGAGTTATCTAATATCAAAACCATGTCAGAACAATTTGGGATCAACAGGTTGTTATGATAATACGGCTACCCCCACACTGCATAACTACTTTTTATTTTTTTAAATTTTTGGCATTATTGTTGACAAAATATAAAA